TGTCCGCGGGGTCACAGAGGGGCCCTTGAGGGTGTGTCTGTTTTCAACCTATCAAACCTGGCATAGAATGTGTTGAGGATGTCTGGAAGGGTGGCTCTCAGGGATCATTGGTTGCTGTGGTTCTCCTGTAGTTTGTGATAGACTGAATTACTTGCCACATAATGCACATTTTGGTTGAGGTAGTAGCTTTCAAGTTTTTCTAAGTGAGCCCTTTTTGTTGCTCTGATGGACTACGGCAGCTTGTACTAGGTTCTCTTATACTTCTCTTGGTCTTCTAACTTGAGGACCTCCTTCCGCTTCCTGACTTTTCGTTTAATGTCCCCATTAAACCAGGGTTTTTGGTTGGGGAAAATCTCTACAGTCCTGGGAGGAGCACATATGGATGTACACCAGCTTATATAGTCACTCACAGACTCTGCATATTCATTGATAGTGTTTGCAGCCTCTGAAGGTGCTCCAGTCTGTGGCCTCCAAGCAGACCTGCAAGATATACTTTGCACCATCAGTCCAGGTGTTAATGGTCCTGACTTTGACTGGCTGTGTCTTGATCCTGGTGTAAACTGGTTTAAGCTGGATTGCCAGGTGATCAGACTTACCAAAGTGAGGTTGAGTTCAGCTGAGAAGGCATTCCTGATGTTGCTCTAGCAGTGATCCAGTATTTTATTTCCCCTGGTGGGGAAGGTCACATACTGATGCAGAATAGGAATTTTTTCAGAAGATTGCAGTGATTAAAATCTTCCAGATTAATAACAGCAGTGTCAGGATACATGTTTTCATGCTCGATCATGTTGTGTAGCTCCTCCAGCGCAGCCTCCTCTTCAGCGGCAAGGCAGATATACACATGTCACAGATCAGGTTGTCTTGATAATCCAAGGTGCAAGCAGGACTCCAAGGCAACTCGGGTAATTGAAAAAATATGATGTATTACTCAAAAGTAAAAAACAAAGCTGCTGAAGGGGCAGCGACTTTACAAAACCCTGGAATGAGCACTGGAGGCAAAGGCTAGACATAGGAGGGATTGAGACGTTGTAAACATTACTCATTGTTCCACTACTGAGACACAGGAGACTCAAATATTTAAAGGGTGACACTAATTATGCCAAACACCTGGCGAGGACATAACCAGGTGATCAGGGAAGGCACAGATTCCCACAACACAACACAACACAACACTCAAAAGTGTCAAAAAAGGGGCCTGTTTAATCTGTCAGTGTGAATCTCTTGCAGAAATATTGCTTTAGTTCTTTATATGATGTCCCACATAAGCTTTGATGTTTGTTTGACAGAAAGCGCCTCATCACCAGGAAAAGTAAAGTTTTCAGGGCCATAACAGAGGGAATCTCATCTTCCTTAAAGGGAGGGGGAAAGAGCAAAGCTGCAGAGAGATGGTGTGAAGGAGTGCAGCGCCAGATGGCTTTGATAAATACGTAGCCAAATGGATGGAGAGAAATGGAGTAACACACCAACTTTACAGTAAAGAGCTGTCGTCATATAGTCCTAACCATTGGTTTTCTACAGATTAAACTTTGTACTTACACCTCCTGCGATGCTTCACCTGTTAAATCATTTCAGGACAAAACGGGGGAAAGCTAAAGAAAAATATGTAACTTGTTTCAGAGCCAATAGCCTGAAGAAGCTTGGGAAGGAGTGGTTCATATATAATGTACAATCAGAAAAATACCTCTGTAAAATTAATGTTTAACTTGTTCAGTTCCTTAAAATGAGCTTTCATGGTTCAGCATTTCTTTATACCAACTTTCAGTCTAAAAATGGGAATTGAGTTTGGGTGCAACTTTAACAAAAACGACAAGTAATAGCCCTACATTTGCTAATTTGTTGTCTTTAGTGGATAAATCTTTTCCATTAGTATGGGTTTGATTTTCTGCCAAACTTTTAAATGTAAAAATAAATAGCCTGAAACAAGTGAAATAATCACTGACATCCATCAAACCCAGTTTAACATAAGTGCTCAGAGTTCAATCATCCCCAATGTGATTATAAGAAAAGCTCAATTTGAATTTATGATTCCTAACAGGACATATTTCGTCATTTTCAGAGTGTCTGAGCCCTGTCTAGATGTTATCATTCTGTTAGTTCAGTGATCTCCATCTGCTAAACAAGTCACAGCACATTCATTCAACCTTTATTTAGACAGGTAATCCCATTGAGCCTCAAGGACCACAGAGACCACATGTTAGCAGAAATAAAACTGCTTGTACAGCTGACAGAGAAACATTTCCATATACATCCTCATATCACTGTGGAAAAAATCACATCATGTTGCTGCTGATCTGTTTCATGTTGCTGATGATCTGTTTCAATGTTGATGTGTTCATGCGTGCTCATCTGCTCACACAGACTCATGTTCATGTTTGTGCTGATGTTCGACATAATGTTTTTATGTTATGAGTGCTTAGTGTATATTTAGTTGATGTTTTTCTTAGTTCATATCTTAGATGTTATTACTGTTTTTCTTTTACATTTCATTGTTGGATGTAACTGGGACCCTGTGTACATAATTTCACTCCCCCACATGTACCACATGAGGTGCGAATGACAATAAAGAAACTCTGACTCTGATATCCTATGCTTTCTTTAATTTTCATCCTCTCTTATTAACTTTGCTTCATGTATACAAAGACATAACTACAGCTTGACACATCCATCTGTGCTACGGAGGGTCAAAGGCAATCAGGAGGCCATGCATGAGACAGGTGTGTAAAGACACAGCAGGGGAGACACGTGACTCTGTTTTCAAGTTTGCCTATGTCTGATAGAGGAGCTAGAAGTGCTGGGAAAATGTGTTTATTAATTTGCAACAGTTTTTTTAATTTTCATCCATCCATCCAGCCATCCATTCTCTTCCGCCTGTTCTGAAGTCGAGTCGCGAGGGCAGCAGCTTGAGCAGGGAAGCCCAGACATCTCTTTCCACAGCATCCTCTTCCAGGTCTTCTGGGAGGATTCCAAGGTGTTCCCAGGTCAACCAAGAGACATAGTCTCTCCAGCGTGTCCTGGGTCTTTGCCGGGGTCTCTTCCCAGTCAGACATGCCCGAAGCACCTCCCAAGGAAGGTGCCCAAGGGGCATCCTTACCAGATGCCCAAACCACCTTACCTGGCTCCTCTTGATGTGGAGGAGTAGCGGCTCTGCTCAGAGTCTCTCCTGGATAACAGAACTTCTCACCCTATCTCTAAGGGAGAGTGTAGCTACCTTGCGGAGGAAACTCATTTTAACCGCCTGTATCCACATTCTCATTCTTTCGGTCACTACCCAGAGCTCATGACCATAGGCAAGGGTAGGAACATAGACTGACCGGTAAACAGAGATCTTTGCCTTACAGCTCAGCTCCCTCTTCACCACAATGGACTGGTACAGAGTCTGCAATACTGCAGATGCTGCACCAAATCAATCTGTCAATCTCAAGATCCATTCTTCCCTCATTTGTGAACAAAACCCCAAGATACTTGAACTCCTGCACTTTAGGCAGAACCTCACCCTCGACCTGAAGAGAGCAATCCACCCTTTTCTGGTTGAGGACCATGGCCTCAGATTTGGAGGTGCTGATTCTCATCCCATCCGCTTCACACTCGGCTGTGAACCATTCCAGTGAGAGCTGAAGATCATGGCACAATGACGCCAACAGGACCACATCATCTGCCAAGAGAAGAGATGGAATGCTGAGGCCACCGAACCAGAATCCTTCCGCCTCCTGGCTGCACTGAGAAATTCTGTCCATAAAAGTTATGAACAGAATCGGTGACAATGGGCAGCCCGACGGAGTCCAACTCCCACCCTGAGGGGGTCCAACTTACTACCGTCAATGCGAACCAAGCTCTTGCACCGCTTGTATAGGGACTGAACAGCCCACGGTTATGGACAGCTCAACCCCAAAGTCCCTCAACTCTGCTTCCTCCATTGGAGACGTGCCAGTGGGATTGAGAAGGTCCGAGAAGTATTCCTTCCACCTCCTGATGACATCACTGGTTGAGGTCTACAGCACCACACTTTCACAGTCTTGGTAATGCACTGCTCAGTAACTCAGACCCCTCCAGAGGATTCTCTGAGCTGACTGAGAGTCGTTATCTAGGGTCTCATCGAACTCTTCCCACATCCAAGCGTTTGCCCCAACAACAGCCAAGGCTGCAGACCACTTGGCTCTCTGGTACCCCTCAGTTGCCTCCGGAGTCTCACCAGCCAACAAGGACTGATAGGACTCCTTCTTCAGCTTGACAGCTTCTCTAACCACTGACAACCTTGCGGCCACAGCTCAAGGCAGCCCCTTCAACAATTGAGTCGTGAAACATGGCCCACTCGGACTCAATGTTCCGGACCTCAGTTGGGATGCGGTTAAATCACTCCCGGACGTATGAGTTGAAGATCTTTCTGAGGGGTTCATCTGCCAGGTGTTCCCAGCAAACCCTCACTACACATTTGGGTCTACCGGGTCTGTCTGGCATATTCCCCCGCCATCTGATCCACCTCACTACCAGATGGTGATCAGTTGACGTCTCAGCTCCTCTCTTCACCTAAATGCTCAAAACAAACAGCTGCAAATCAGATGACACGACTACAAAGTCAATCATTGAGCTTAGCAGATTGATTCTGCTAATAGTTTGAAAAATAACTTTATAAATGGGTGAAAATGTGAACTTTTATACTGTATGTGACCCCCCCACCCCCTCCTCCAACACCCATCTCGTGTTTTAAGGCTTAAGATCTCATGTACTGGTACCTTTTGTAAGATTTTTTTTTTTTCAATAAAAAGCGGTAAGACCACTTTTCATAACGTGTTTTACAATTTTTATTACTTACAGTAAATAACAATGTGACATCAATTCAGAGGAGATTTTAAAATTGATGTAGCTACTGAGTGTTAAAGAACATTGTTGTAACTTTGTGCAGAAGATCTGTTGCCTCAGACAGTTCATGGTTGCTGTTGGCTTTCCGTTTCTAATCTCTCACATTGTAAATGATGGTCAAAGTTCAAACAGCTCCATCCACTCTGCATAATCAGAGGCGTGTTCCTGACCTCAGTACCCAGCTGCATACGACCATTTACGAGGGTCTGACTGAGCCTGCAGACCTTCTTCATAACGAACTACAGCCTGCACATTGGCTCCTGCTGTTGTAGAATGGAACTCTGGCTCGTGGTTTTTTTTCACCAAACCATCCATGACATTCTGGTAGACATGAAAACATAAAAACAGTCAAAACAGGAACCCTTTTTGCAGAATGGAGAAATAAAAATCCAAAAAAGTTCAATCTGGTTCGAATGTCCAGAGGACCAGATTGAACTTTTTTGGATTTTTCTACCTGGATTATTGAGCATGCATCAGGAGAAATAAAAATGTTAATTTTTAGCCAGACCAAGAATTTTATTTAAGAAATAGAATTTTCTGAAAAAAATGCAGCATAAATGTGGAGTGTTGAATGACTATTGAAAGTTGCGAGAAAAAAAAGAGAAAAACTTAAACTGTGTTTTTAAACAAGCCAAAAGCTAAAAATGGTTAAAGTTAGCTAAAACTTTTAAAATACTACCTAATAAATAAAAGGTATCAAGAGATTAACTAGAAGCTAAGTGTTGCCAAATGCTAGTTAAAGGCTAAAGAAGCATACAAAGAGCAAAGCATAGCAAAAGATAAATTTAATAAGTGAAAAGATAAAATTAGTAAAAGCGTAGCCAAAAGTAGCAAATATTTAGCCAAATGCCAAAAAATGGCAAAATACTGCATTAAATTTTAAAGTGACAAAATTCTAAATAAAACCAAAACATGCAAAAAAGTTGCAGAAGGATATAAGTAGCTAAAAAGCTAGCTAAAAGATAAAGGTAGCTAAAAAAACGTAGCTTGTCATGTTCTGATGTGGTTGAACCCAAGTATAAGCAGATGCAGGGAATTGGGTACATTAAAAACTGTTTTTTTTTTATTAAACAAAGTATTTTTATTATGTTTTCTTTATTTCTATTTTTAAAACACAGACATGCACAAAGAAAACAGAACAAAACAAAAGACCACAGAACAAAATCCCCTCCGACACCGGACCAGTCACACATACACAAATAATTTATACACGCATTGACAAGTTCTCGTGGGGTGGGAGACTATCTGTCTCTGGGATTATTCTTCAGTAGGTGATCCAGAGACCGTCCATCACTGGGGCAAAGAAACAGGGGAACCAGGAGCAGGGGATCTGCAGCTGGTGTAGCTACTTAGGGGGCTGCAGGTGGTGCAGAGGCTAGGAGACCATAGCCATCATGAAGAGCAGGAGGACTGCAACAGGTGTTTGGCCCAGCAGATCTGCATCAGGTGTAAGAAACAGCAGATCTGCAGCAGGAATAGAGGCCTGAAGGACTGCAGGTGGCATGATGACCTTGGTGGCTGCAGCTGGGATGGGAACCTTGATGGCTGCAGCTGTTGTCAGGACAAGGGGTAATGAAGTTGTCATCGAGACCAGGGGAACTGTAGCTGTTGTCGAGATCAGGGAATTGCAGCTATTATCAGGACCAGGGAAACTGCAGCTGTTGTCGGGACCAGGGGAACTGCAGCTGTCATCAGGATCAGGGGAACTGCAGTTGTCATCGGGACAAGGGGAACTGCAGCTGTCCTGGAGGCCAGGGGGACTGCAGCTGGCAAAGAGACCTTGGGGACTTTAGTAGTCAATGATACCTCAAGGACCACAGCTGGTGTCAAGACCTTGGGGAACACAGCTGGCTTCAAGACCTCAGGGGCTGCAGCTGGTGTGGAAACCTCAGGAACCATAATTGTTGTGGAAACCTTAGGGACTGTAGTTGTAATAGAGATCTCAGGAATCATAGTTGTCATGGAGACCTCGGGGATCATAGTTTTCATGGAGACCTGAGGGACCACAGTTGTCATGGAAACCTCAGGGACTATAGTTGTTATGGAGACTTTTGTGGTTGCTGTAGTCATGAAGACCTCCGGGACTGCAATAGGTGCAGTCACCTCAGGGACTGCAAAAGGTGTATCCACTTCAGGGACCTTTGGAGGCATGGAAACCTATTCTCTGGAGGTGTGCAACCCTCTGGAGGCATGAAACCCTCTAGAGGCATGGAACCCTCTGGAGGTGTGGAAACTTCTAGAGGTGTGGAACCCTTTGCAGGCATGGAACCCTTGGTGGACGTGGAACCCTTGGTGGGCATAGAACCCTTGGTGGGCGTAGAACCCTCGGGGGTGTGGAACCCCCAGGAGACATGAAACCTCCAGGAGGCATGAAACCCCCAAGAGGCATGAAACCCCCAGGAGGCATGAAACCCCCAGGAGGCATGAAACCCCCAGGAGGCGTGAAACCCCCAGGAGGCGTGAAACTCCCAGGAGGCATGAAACCCTCAGGAGGGGCAAAAAAACTCAGGATCCACAGGAAACTCGGGAACTGCAGAAAACTCAGGACCCACAGGAGACTAGGAGCTTCTGGAAACTCTGGGACTTCTGGAAACTAAGGAACTTCTGGGGACTCGAGGACTTCTGGAGACTCTGGGACTTCTGGAGACTCAGGGACCTCAGGGAAAGACATGGAGACCTCTGGGGGAGACATAAGTACCTCTGGAGAAGATGTGAGAACCCCCTGGAAAAGACTTGAGGACCTCTGCAAAAGATGCGTGATTCTCTGAAGATGTGGGAGAAACTGAAGACTTGGGGATGGCTGGGTTGGTGTTTTGTTCCTTAAGAATTCTTATATCAACAAGTAAATGGTAGAAGTTTGGGATCTGGATGAGTCCAGGTTGAGAAATGAATACCTTTTCAGCAATGGAGCAAGTGATGCTCCAGTACTGTAGTTATGGATAAAGCAATGTGTATAATAGTCTTTGGAATTGCTTGTTTATAGCGATCAGATCAGAGATGGACTTATCTGTAGAAACCAGAGAGTCCAGGATAGGAGATTCAGCTGGTTCTGGTTGATGCTGAGGTTGTTTCATAAGCTGGGCAGGATTTGATGGCAGATACACAGGAGGCTCAGTGGCCACCGCAGTGATTGCAGTGGGTGTGAGAACTTCTGAAGACTTGGATCTCTCTGGAGACTTGGAGCTCTCTGGAGACTTGGAGCTGTCTGGAGATGTGGAGCCTTTTACAGATGTAGGGCCCTCAGCAGATGTGGAGCCCATTACAGACGTGGGGCCCTCAGCAGATGTGGAGCCCTCTACCAATGTATGGCCCTCTGCAGACATGACAAACTCAGGAGGCTTGAGAAAGTTTGAAGGTGAGGAAGAGCAGTAATAGGCATCCTTCTGGACCCTCTTGGAGGAAGAATGAGAGGCATCGTCTTGTACCATCTCAGGGACACAAAAACTACATTGAGTGCTGTCTTTCTGGACCCTCTTGGGGGAAAAATGTGTGATGTCCTCCAGGACCTGCTCGGAGACATTAGGAGGTGGAACGTTGCAGTCGCCCCCATCAGAACACAGGAAGGAGTGAGCGGCAAAGGAAGAGGGTTAGTGGACCAGGCTTGGGTCTGACATCGGTCCCTCTTTCGATGGTGATGAGCAGAGACGTGGAGAAGAACAACTAAAGAAGTTGATTCTTCAGGTGATTCAGGAGAAGCGCTGGACTCGCTGGATGTCAGTGCAGAAAGTGGAGGAAGAAGAGCGCGTAGCATGCGTCTTTCCTCAAAAACCTCGGACAAAGTCTCTGACATCCTCGGAGAATCACAAAGTCTGGACAGGTGAAAAAACTCTCCCAACATGTCCTCTGTGGCCACCCTCCTCATCCATAGGTTGCTGTAGGTGGACACCATATTCACATAGTGGCATGTTATCTGGCGGGCTGCCACTCGTCCTCCAAGAAGAGCACAGCCAGGAATGAGCAGCCTGCTGGATTTGTTGTTTTGTCCGAGGATTCTGTCATGTTCTGATTTGGTGGTTGAACCCAAGCACAAGCAGATGCAGGGAACTCAGGTAAAATAAAAAAATATATTTAATGGTACAAACACAAAAGCTGACGTGGCAGCAAAACTTACTCAAGGGATCATGAGAGGAGCAGAGACAGATCATGAAGCAGCATTTTTACAACTAGAAATGAAAATGTCTTTGTTACATTGCAGTTATCTGATCTCTGAGGCTAAATGTAATGAACAGTGTTTCAGGTGTCTGAGGTAAAAGTATTCTGTGTTTACTGGTTCAAGGATGAATTATTGTCTCCCTGCTCAGTACAACACTGTAATATTACTTACATATATCAGTGTTGTTTACACTTTATGACACTTACTTTGTCAAAGCCAGGCTCTAATTGTGTGGTGTTGGGAATCAGCTGGTTATGGATCCTCTTCTCTGTTACGGCTTTATGCAGATCATAGTTGAAGAACAGTGCATTCAGAATAACCTGCAAATATGACAATTATAAGTTCAACTTTAAAACAACAGTGGTATTAAAAATAATATATGAGTTAAAACCACTTTCAATCATTAGTGTCAAGTTGTGTATTTGTATGTTTTACCTGAGCAACAGAAGTAGGGATTTTTGGTCCTCCTGAAGCTCCAACCACCATCTTTACTTTATTGTTTTTGTCAAAAATAATAGTTGGACACATAGATGACATTGGCCTTTTCCCTGTTAACAAAATGGGTTGATTGATTATGCTGAGTGTGCATGGTTTCTCTGTGCATGTGTGGGTTTTCTCCAGTTTCCTCCCACAGGCCAAAAACATGCATGTTATTCTGATTGGTAACTCTGAATTGTCCCTGGTGTGAGTGAGAGAGTGAATGGTTGTTTATGCATAATGTCTCTCAATTAAAGGATTGCTAAAAGGTCTGCTTGAAAACAAATAAATAAATAAATGTGATGTGGCTCAAGGCTTTCATAGACTGTTAAAAAGGAGATATTTCCCTCCACTGTCACCTATCATCACGATGCTTCAGCAGTCAAATGAACATTAGTGCCATCTGGAGATTTTGTTAGACAGACAACTTTTTAATAACATTTTTGTCTCCATAAATCCATGCAGAGCTACTACAAATAGCCATACATTGAACTGAAAATAAACATTCTTTCATTAAGATAATGTATACGACCTTTCCATATTTTTGTCTTACTTTTTCTGTTTGGAGAAGTTGAAATATAATTAGCATACTTAGTGGAAACATGTCTCCCTGTTTCTCTCAGAACAGCTGACATATGATTTATGATCTGGCACTTGGGGCAAAATGTTTGTCTGCTTGAAAAGTGCAAAATTTGAATATATACAATTTTTTTAATTATTTTGTGGGCATTTTCGTTCACTCTTGGTTTATTAGATGTAAAAGTACTGTATGTTTTACTTAATTTTGTTTTCAGACACTGAAAGTTTAAATAGTAAAACACAGGTTGGTTTATTTTAAAGTGTTCTTTTATGTTCTTTATTTAGGAATGCTGGCTTCACTTTAAGAATTTCAAGATAATGTTTTGCAGTTTGAAAAGCAAAGAGTTCTGTTATACGAGAGGCCTCGGTTACCAAATCCACTCTTGAGGTTGTGGCTATTTGATTATAGCTCTGTAGCTTTTGACAGCCCTCGTGTCTTTACAGGTGTCTGTGTTTGCTCAAAAGCACAGGTCATACTCTCACCAGGCTTGATAAAGTTGTTTGGGGAAGGAGGAACACCAAAGCCGTTTGTGATGAGCGGGGAGCTGAAGTCGTCCATCTGGTTATTAAGGATAATTCCTGTCGACCTTGACAAGACTTTGGAGCCTAAACTGAAGGGAGAAAATCTTTTTTTTAGATCTTCAAGCTGGAGACTGAGCATGGTCTCTGGTCAAGCAGGCAGACTCACAAATCGTTGATGGTGCTGGTGGCGGACACAGCACTTCCATCTACTGACACTACAGACAGGTGTGACGTCCCTTGGTCATCAGGCAGGTAAAAGTCGGGTTCGTAGTAACTTGTTGGGTGTGTTGTTTCATCCGTAATTTTATCACGGA